ATATATATATATAATATAACAGTACAAAGTATTATTCTAATATTTCTGCTGTATCATGTATAAGTGTCCATACTGTATTCATAACACTCCTACAATCAAATTTCTTATAGCACATATAAAATTCGCGCATGGTGCATCTTTGTCTACTATTATATGCAAACAAGAAAATTGTACACGTAGCTTTGTAACACTCTACTCATTTAAACGGCATTTAATGGTAAAACATCTCAATGAAAATAATACGAAAGTTTCTGTTATGCCAGAATTGCATTTATTTAGTGAAAATGTCGAAAGTATGGATGATAAGTTTACACAGTATACTAATTCCAAAGATTTGTTATCAACAAATGTTTGTAAAGAATTAATGAATAATCCATCAATGTCGTTACAACAATTTGATATGATTGTTACAAAAAGTGCTCTTTTATTAGTTTCAAAATTATATGCTGATATTACGTTATCACGATTAATAGTGCATAAAATAATACAATACGTAAACAACTTTTACAAATCTACTATTGAGATTATCAAACATAAACTTGAATGCCAAGGGAACCGAAATGTATCATCTGATATTAATGACATGTGCATAATAATACAAAATATTTTCCTGCAGTTCGAAACTGAACATAAAACATTGCAGTACTTTATAAAACACGGGTATCTTATTATGCCACAATCTATTAATATTGCTGCAACATTATGTTCAAAACGTAGAAAAATGTGTACAAGTATAGGTATACGTAATAGAACTGTACAAGTTATTCCTTTAAGACAGCTTTTAATACAATTTTTGGAATTATCAAACGTTTTTGACACGATAACTAAAGAGATATATGAAAAAAGACATAACGACATATTAAGTTCTGTTCTTCATGGCGAAGTGTGGAAACACATTCAAGAACAATTTTCAGAAAAATTTGTTTTACCTCTCTTATTATATTTTGATGATTTCGAGATTAACAATCCTCTTGGATCCCACAGTGGAATACATAAAATTGGTGTTGTATATTGCACTATTCCATGTATTCCAAGTGAATACTTCAGTATTCTTGAAAATATCTTTTTGCTTCAAATACACAATGCGAAAGATCATTCACAGTTAGGAAATAAAAATACATTTTTTAACATAATAAATCAAATTCAAGATTTGGAAACCAATGGTTTACTTATAAACATTCATGGTAGACAACAGACAATA